ATCATCTTCATCATCTTCATCATCTTCATCATCAGCCGACTTTACATTAGCAAGATGGATTTATGACTGAACGAATGTCCACGTATTTTTTTATCATCTCTGTGGGTAACAATACATAAAAAACATTTTTCTCCAACAATTGGGTGTGAAAAACTACAGTTGTTAAAGCTTCGCTCTGCGCGACGTGCAGCGAGATGAGAGGAGAGGAGAGGAGAGGGTGGGAGGAAATGATCCTGCGACATAACATAACATTTCTACAGCGGGAGGAGGAAATTTTGAGGATTTATTCTCTCTATACGTGTTTTAAAACGCTATAATTTCTTCATTATATTTCAAACTCCTGCTCAGTTGTCTCTGCACTCGCAGCTCTGTTCACACAGGACCGATGACGTAACAACGATAGGACGGTAGAGTATAAATTACTACCGTAGGCCATCTTCATACCGTTTCTACCGTCTACTGCATATACCATGCAGCCCTATTTAGACCCATCAAGATTATTGGAGCATCCTTAATATTGTCTGAAGACAAAATCAGGCCAAAAATCAGCAGTTATCTTGTGAGCCACTCATTAGGACAATGGTTAGAAAATAGAGATGGAAATTAAGACATCTTACGTTACATCATATCGAATATACTGTATTTTGCCATAAACAGTTTTAATATTTTTTTCTTTTCAGACTAAAATTTGTTTACTTTTTGATTTAGATGTTGAGCTATCAGTTCTTTCTAGAAAACGATGTGGAGGTTTTAAGGCCTCTAGCACCTTATACAGATTTGTTTAGCAGTGGAATCTGGAGATGATTATATCTTTAGCGAATGACAGACGAGCGTTGCAGAAAGTCTTCCCTACATGCATTGTTTATGTGTCAGGCATGGTTTCGTTATGACTCTGAGGTTAAAACTCACTGTTAAATGGAAGCAGCAGGTCCTCCAGGACTTCAGAGCTCCTTCTTCTGCTGCCTCTGGTGAGTTAACACCGGCTCAGAGCTCCTGAATAGAATAAATGGAATGTGCTTTTAGTGTTTTCCAGGTTTTTAAAAAGTACAAAAATAGAATATGGAAACAAGCTTTTGAGTTTCTGATCTGTATTTCTTTCCTAAAGATCAAGTTTTATCTTTGAACTAACAGCTAAAGGCTTCAGATGTGATTATGGACAGACTACTGTGTTTTTAACTAAAACCACTGTTTGACTTCCTTACTGAACTAAAAGCAATTTCAAACTTTGAATTTTAATGAGAACAAAACTAAAGTTGTTGCTGGATCCATGACAAACCGCAGCATTTCTACAGATCTGTGCTGCTTAGAGCTGTTTTTAAAATCTCCTGTTAAACGTTTGGATGTGATAATTGATCCAAATTTTACTAAACAAATAAGTTCTGTAGCAGAGGTGGGGACTCGAGTCACATGACCTGGACTTGAGTCAGACTTGAGTCATTATATCAAGACTTCAGACTTGAAAAACCTGTTCAGTGACTTGGGACTTGAATTGGACTTGACCTGTTGACTTGAAAAGACTTGATATTTTAGGGCTGTGGCTGAACGGTTAAGTGAGTCGTCTTCTAAATCAGAAAGTTGGCGGTTCAATTTGCCACTATTCTTTCACATGTTGAAGTGTCCCTGGGCAAGACACTGAAACCCCCACTGCCTCTGATTTGTCCCGTCAGTGTATGAATGTGATTTAATTAGTTTCCATAGGACAGGGCTATTCAACTAAACTGCACCGGGGGCCACAGTTACTGCAGGTAAACAGCTGAGGGGCCGAACATCCAGCAGCGTGTGCTTGTGATTAATACTGCTTTTTTTGCGAAAATTACTGATTTGTGATGCTCATTATACACGTAACCATCTGAAGGGGTTGACTTGTGGACTCTGAAGTCCCAGGCCGGTCGGGGCCGCGGTGCGCGTGAAGAGGTGCTGCGGTCAAACCGCCTCTCAGCCCTCGCTTTAAAAACAGTCAGATCTGTCGCGGTTTAGTTGTGCTCGTAAACACACAGTGTTACAGGAGAAATGCTGCGAGGTGCTTTTAMAAATATAATATATATAAAATACGACGTAAACCTTGGTGGAAAATAGCTCAGGTGAACACCTCCCGGGAAAACCCTCAGCGTTTCCCGGACCGAGTGAGGCTGACCCCCCAGCCACAGAGAAAGAAAAAAGGCAGCGCTGTCAGTCAGACAGCAGGACCCACCCTGCTCTGTTCTGATTGGGTAAAACTTTGACTGTGGTTCTCTTTATTGGGTGAAAGAACCGTCAGTTTAATCCCTAGATGGCTTTAACAAGTTTTTTTTCTCCTGTTCATTTTTACAATGACGAACACCCGCTGCTTTTTTCTTGGTTGTCCACCAGACAACTTGGAGGCGGGATCTGGTTGTCCGAAACGAAAATAGGTTGTCTCAGACAACCTAAACAATGGTTATGTCGACCCCTGTTTTCTATTATAAGTTTTATWTCGTCATTTTTATCGTTACCGCCACCCATCATAATGTACAGTATATTGTAATATGAATTTTTTGCCATATCGCACATTCCTAAGCAAAACATAACCTCCCAGGTAGACTACACACCTGACCCAAACCCTAACCTCACCAGGCTGTGTGCACCGGGGAAATGGTCAATAATTGTACCCACCATGAAGCAAAAATCTGTACACACACACACACATGCGCGCGCGCTCGCACGCATAGCGAAACAGCCGTATTTTTTTTTTTTATTTATTTTTTACCCAGATCGGAGTCTGAAAAACATTTCTTTCTTGTTAGCTGGAGATGAAAACAAGATGTGGACGGTTGCTTGCTCGTCCGTCTTGCTAATTTAACAGTCAAGGTCTACTCTGTGAGCGGATCATTTCAGCAGCATGAGGAAGCTCACAGGTATGGCAGGCCGCTTTTGCACTAAATCGACTTCACCACAGTTACATTCCAAGTATCTGAAATAGGTTCGTCTGGGTCTCAGGAGGATAAAACTAAACATATTAGATATTTAAGTGAAATAATATAAGATAATAAGATTCAACTAATGATGAAATTGCAGACTTTTGTGTTATTTAAAAAAAAATATGCACAACCTTTTAATAAGTACCAGTAATATTTCTGTTATTAATCATTATTCTCTGTTCATCATTCTGCTTTATCCAAGGCCAAAGATCCATAGTTGTCCATCTGAGGAGCATGTGTCTAAAAAAAACTTAACCATGAAATGTTTAATATGTTTATAAGACGTTCAGCCCTTAAACATTTGCACTTAGAATTTTATAGAATCACGTTAAATACTTTTCAGTAAGTTAAATATCTACAATTCTGGTTCAAATAAAGAACTTTATGTTTACTAGATTAACTAATTATTTTCGAGTTAATGTTGCCTTAATGAACAGTGATTTAAAAAATAGCCTGTAAAACTCTGATGTTATGCGACTTGGTTGAAAATTTGGGTGCACCTAACTTTTGTGCTGGTGCACCTAAGAAAAAATGTTAGTCGCACCAGTGCAACCAGTCAAAAAGTTAGTCTAGAGCCCTGAAAGCAGACCATCCATCTTTTTTGTTCCACACTCTTTCTTTACATGTGTGTGCATGAGCTGCAGCACAGCCAATCAAATTAACCAGAGTAAAAAAAAAATTAGAAAAAATATAGTTTTGCAGCTAAGTTTATTTGGATTTTGCAATATAGAGGTGCGATTTAAAAAAAATTWAAATACTTTGTAAGTTCATCTGCACAGGTTTAATCTCAATTTTGGATAAAAATTGAAAAATGGAYCACACGGTCTATTTTTTCCATTTAATATGTAACTGCAACATTGTTTAAAAAATACTCAAAGGACTTGGAATTTTAAGTTTCAGACTTGGGACTTGACAGTTGCTTGTCTTGTCTTGAGACTTGACTTGGGACTGTTCTGCAGTAAAGAGATGAGTAATATTTGAGAACTTACAA